CTTTAGGCACTTTGACTTTGTCAGATTCTTTAAAATGTCCAGGTTCAGCTGGGTGATTTTAAGTGTATTATTGGATTTGTTATGAATTCTATTGATGCTTTTGTTTCAATTGATCTCACAGTGAAGAGCTTAAGCAACATATTAGCATGTGGCAGTAAGATTTTGCACAACTATTTCCCAGCACCACTGTGTGCGTGTGTGTTGTACATACACGAAACAGATCATCTGGTAGTCAGAGCTGACCGGCCTGTCAGGGTCAAGAACTGATTCCATTTCCCAGGCAGTTCATCCATCCATCCATTCGCTTCCACTTATCCTTTTCAGGGTCGCCGGGGGTGTTGGAGCCTATCCCAGCTGTCATAGGGCGAGAGGCAGGGTACACCCTGGGCAGGTCGCCAGTCTGTTGCAGGGCTAACACACAGGGACAGACAACCATTAGCGCTCACATTCACACCTGTGGGCAATTTAGACTAATCAATTAACCGATCCCCACAAACTGCATGTCTTTGGACGGTGGGAGGAAGCCGGAGTGCCCGGAGGGAACCCACGCAAACACGGGGAGAACAAACTCCACACAGAAAGACCCCGGCCTGATGGTGGAATTGAACTCAGGACCTTCTTGCTGTGCGGCAACAGTGCTAACCACCGTGCTGCCCAGTTCCCAGGCAGTTGATCTGTATATTGAAAAGGTCGCCCCGTGGCTCAGGGGGATGGGAACCTGTAACCGGAAGGTCAACGGTTCGATCCCCGGGCTCTCTGTCCTGGTCGTTGTGTCCTTGGGCAAGACACTTTACCCTACCGCCTACTGGTGATGGCCAGAGGGGCCGATGGCGCGATATGGCAGCCTCGCTTCTGTCAGTCTGCCCCAGGGCAGCTGTGGCTACAACTGTAGCTGCCTCTACTAGTGTGTGAATGTGAGAGTGAATGAAGTGGAACTGTAAAGCGCTTTGGGTGCCTTGAAAAGCGCTATATAAATGCAATCCATGGCTCAGGGGGATGGGAAACTAATGGACATTATTATGAACCTAGAAAAGTCAGATTTTGATCCAGTATACAATACCAAGAATGGCTTAACTTTTCAGCATAAGAATTCAGGCTGTGTGGAAGAACAAACGTGGTCATAACAAATATTGACTTTCAAGTTTGTTGCATTTGTACAAACTCTGTTTTTGCTCTCTGTAGTTCCATTTCTGTTTTCGTTTCTGTCAATCGCTACAGCCGTTTCCTAATTTCCTAGCAAAATATAAGAAGTGGATCAAGACTTTTTCCTAGTACTGTAACTCATATTTTAAAACTATTTTTCTCTTTATACATCTCTGACAGAATTAAGTGTGTTTTTTCTTTTCTGTTCCAGCATATCTGCGTCATTAGTGAAACAGGGAAGGAGAAGTACAAAGCATGAAGAGCACCTCGTAACAGTTTTCAACATTTGGTTATTTCATTTCCATTTAGCATTGATGTTATATTTCATTGCTTTGTATTTTGTCATGAGAATATAATCGGCTTACTCAGGGTCCCTGAGGATACACCCAACGTGATAATCCCGTGTTTGAATCACCACGCATGGACACGCAAAGGTTTCAATTTTTTGCATTCGATTGCTTGAGAAAGAATCACGTCTGGGTTTAATAGAATGGATCCCAGCTTCACCTTGAATTAGAATATTGCTTTTATGGTCCCCACTTTTATTCCTTTTTTATTTTTTAATTGAGAGCATTTTAGGGAAATGCTGCTAGCTTCAAGTGCAGTCGCGTAATTGTTGTGCTGCCATAAGATTTACAACCTCCTCTTTCATATTTTGTATTTTGTGTAAAATGATTATTGTTGTTATTATTATTATTAATATTATTTTGTGTTTGTGTAATTCTACCTGAAACTATTAAAATGTGCTTGTTTGTTTTTTTTTTGTTTGTTTTTTTGTTTGTTTTTTTTATGGGACACCTTAAGAGGAAGTTAAATTTTATTGAAGTGTGTGTGTATATTTTGGAAGAATACTTCACTTTTCTACGGTACTGTTTTGTAACGCTGAAGAAACATTAGGTAGAAAAGTAAATTGCTGCTGTCCCTGATTAAATTATGTAGACATTGGTAAACCTGAGAAGAAATTTATGAAAATGAATGAAATCAAAGCTTTAGAGACATGCACTTCCTTTGTGTAACATAAAAGGTGATCCTTTTAACGCTGCAGATATTCAATCACAAACTGTTAATGGTTAAGAATCGTTCATTTGAATATTTGAAATTCCTAATCTGTATCTACATATGTTTTATTCACACATAATTTAATTAAAGGCCCCTTTTTAAAAAATATCCTTTTTGTTTGCAGTTTCGCTAAATTAAATGTTCTGTAATCGTCAGTGTTGCAGCACCAGCCATTAAAATTTTCCACACCAAACCTGAAAGAAAGTTTTTCATTTTACTATTACAGCAAGTTATTGATATATTGAAACACGAAGTGCCAAAAAATATAAATAGTGACAGAGACAGAATGATGCTGCCAAGATTTGGTCTTCCATCTTTGCTCATTAAGATCATGAACATTTGAGCTCCTGTTGTCTGATCTTCATTTGGAAATTGAAGCTAACATTGGGGGATAATTATTTGGTCCCCTGATGATTTGTAAGATTTTTAAGTTTGCTCTCTTGCAAAAAATCTGTAATTTTATAGCAGTTGCATTTTAATGGAGAGAGAAAGAATATTAACCAAATATCCAGAAAAAACCCCACACTTTACCTAAAAGTCATACACTGTTTCCATGTCACTGACTGAAATAAGCATTTGATGACTCAGTATTTGGTGGAGAAACCCTTGTTGCCAAGCGGAGCAGTAAGACGTTTGCACACAGGAGGGATTTTGGTCCACTCCTCTTTACAGAAACTCTAAATCCTTTATATTTCTTGGCTGCTGCCTGGCAACTTGAAGCTTCAGTTCCCTCTGCAGATTTTCATTAGACTGAGCTCTGGAGACTGGATAGGCCACTTCATGACCATAATGTGCTTCTTTAGCTACGTCTTTGTTGCCTCTGGCTTGTTTTTGGTCAGTATTACACTGGAAGACCCATCCACAACCCATCTTCAGGTGTTGTGGCTGAGGGAAGGAGGACTTGGTCCAGGATTTAATGGTACATGTCCACTGGCCCCTCCTGTACTCTTACTAGAAAATTAACTCCAAAGCATCATGTTCCCACCTCCGTGCTTGACTGTGAGGATGGTGTTCTTTGGGTCAAACTCAGCATTTCTCTTACTCCAAAACACGGTGGGCCAAGTTGATGCCAAAGAGCTTGATTATGGTTTCATCTAAATGCAGCACTTTGTTCCAAAACTCTGAATCATTTAAATGTTCACTAGAAAGTTTAAAACCGACGAATTTCCCAGAGGAACCCACCCGAGGGATTAATAAAGTTTTATCTTATCTTTTATCTTATCTCTTACATGTGTCTTCTTGAGCAAGGGAACTGTGTGGGCACTGCAAGATTTCAGCACATTACTGCGTAGTGTGTTACCAACGGTGCTCTTGGTGTCTGTGGTCCCAACTGCCTTCAGATCATTAAGAAGCTCTTCCTGTGTAGTTTTGGGCCGATTCACCACCCTTCACATGATCATCTTGACCTTGGGAGCCCCAGACGAAGAGCGATATATGGTCATGTGATACTTATTCAATTCTCAAATAATCTCACCAACAGTTATCACCTTCTCACCAAGACTTTATTTTGTTGTAGCCCATTCCAGCCTTGTACAGGTCTACAATCTTTTCCCTGACTTCCTTTGTCAGTCTTGCCCATGGTAGTGGAGAGACTTCAAACAATCAATCTTTAGGAGGCAGAATTCTTGCTTGGTTGGAGAACATCAAATACTTATTTGTGACACTGAGTGACATGCAACTCAATTCATAACTTGTTGTTTGTTCATATTCTGTCTCTCGCCGTTAAAATGAAAGGTCCCATCATAGCTGTCATGGGGCAAGAGATGGGGTATGCTCTGAAAATGTATCCAGTGCATCAAAGGACGAAGAGAAAGACATTTTACCTAGAGCAAACATGCATGTCTTTACATGGACGTAACTTTGTGCTGAACACTGTGGGAGGTCAAGATCTCTGCCTAAGTAAATAAATAAATCTGGGTAAATTCCCAGATCATTAAACATGCAACTATTTTGCTGGTAATACCTGAAATGAGTAAAGAAAATCAACAGCCTATTTATGCAAGATAATTCATAATTTTATTGAGGGGGTTATATGGGGGGGGGGTCATAACCCCCCTGGACATTACACCTCGGTGTCTTTAGACTGTGGGGGGAAGCCTACACAGGAAGGCTCCAGCTAACCAGCAACCTTCTTGCTCTGAGGCAAGAGTGCCAACCACTAATTAATAATTACTGTGGTTTTTAATTTGTGCTGTTGATGAAAAGCCACTCATGTTTGCAGATGCACCGTTCACATTTGTTTTCATACTGACTGGATGTTATTTTAACTCTAGGCACTAGATTATATTCCAATTTCATGTGTCAAGTCTAATGGAAACTCTGTGTTTCCTCTTACCTCAAACTGAGACTAATCTTAACCATAACCAGCTGTGTTTCATGATGCTTATCAACACCCAGCCTTAAATTAACCACTTTTCTCTGCCTAGTTTGCCTCTGCACTGCAAGCTTCGCTTCATTTATGACCACAAAACTGGCACCATAATAAACATGGTTATCTGCAGGTAGTAAGCAACCCGTGAAAACAGTAAGGCCAGTCCATCCTGTACAGGGCCTCTTGTCGTTGTCTCAAGACCTGTTGAGGTGTTTGTTTTCCAGTAAAATTTTACTGCCGTAAAACCTTACTGAAATCTTTTAGCCATAATTATATTATAGATCTGAAAAAAAGTGTCCTTACAGAAAACATTGAGACTATACTTCATAAATTGTATGCCTTTCTTTTTCAATTAATCTTTATTGATCGCAAGGAAGGATATAAACAATATCCGGAATAAGACAAACATAGCTGTCTCTAACAAACTATCGCGTCGTTAGCCGTCTTTGTGTGCCAGAGTACATTTTGATTTCTTTGTGGAACTGGTGAATACCGGGGCTTGCCGTGAAACCGTTTGCATGTATGGAAATTGGAGGGGAACAAACGCACGGATGGAGCATAATACTTTCCGCCTGAGCACGCCGGCTAATGGAGCGCTTTTATTGGACAGGCCTGCTAACGCTGAAAAAAAAGGGGCGTGAACTTCGCTGCTAGCTTTTCGCTCTTGTGTGATCATCTGGGGGATCTGGTTCATTCTTGGCGGTGCCCAGCAGCAGCGTTTCTTTTTTTGATAGTCTGTGGACAATATTTCAAGCTGACACGGATTAATTCGTCTTGCGTGCAGTTGTAGCTGTCGGGCTGATGGACAAAACGTGAAGTGAGACGGTGACCCGGCCTCTCTCTTTCTGAAAATGGCATTGTGGTTAACTTAGCTAGTTAGCTTATCTGGCTAGGTAGCTGGACTCTTGTTGTCGCTGAGCCAACTGGCTTCCATTAGCTAGCTGTGCGGTGTTAGCTACAGGGTATGCTGATGAGCATCACTACATGTAGCTCTGCTATTTTAATGTCGTTTGTAGTAGACTGAAAGACGAGCGTTCAGTTGGTGGACAGAGCGACCATTTGGCTAGTTTAACTACGGCTAGCTCATTTAAGGCGCTAACATGCAGCGGTAGTTTGGATCCACTCGTCACAAACTGCTGCCTTGCACCAGCAGACCAACTGTTAGTAGGCATTGTGCGGTGTGTATAGCCATGGCTCTCTAACAATCCATCAGGAAAGTTGGTGACCGGTTACAGACAGGGTTGATGAGGGGCAGCTTCGGTGAACACACGGCTGCTTTGTGGACTGGACGCCGTTATGGTACATATACAGCGTTAGTTTGCTTCAGCACCGGAGTCACCCTGGGCACGGGGCCTTGCAGATTGCCGAGAGTTACCTACACTGTGTTGGCTTGTCTTAGGTGAGCTCAACTGCCTGTTTACTCATATTGCTTCAAGAACATGTAAAGTTTGCACAGGTTGAAGATCAGTAATGTAACTTTACTGAGTCGGTTCGCCATTTTAAGTTGCTGAATCGGTGAGGGGTGGTGGTGAAGCGTTGTTTAGCGAAATGAACAGCTCAGGAGTCATGCCACAAGAAAAGATGGAACTGGATCTGGAAATCCCAGCTTCCATACTTCCAAGTGATGGACACCTGAGAAGATCCAACAGTGCACCCATGATAAATGGGTTAAGGTAGGGCAATCTGACTTTAATTTACTGCAAAGTTAAAACTCTTTCCTTATTCACACATTGAAATAAGTTCATTTGCATTGACATGATGGTTAAAGGCGTTCATAATTCATCTTTGCAGTGATAACTCCCAGGTGTTCCAGAAGGAGGTCCTACGGTGCCGGAGAAATAGCACTACAGTTGTGAACAGGCCCAACATGGTATAGTGGTTCATAAACATATTCTGACTTGATTGAGATGCCTGAGTTACTGTAATGAGTGTTTACTCATTATCAGCCATGTCCTCCTCTTACAGGTTCCTTCATCGCCCATTCGGGTCCCGAGTACCAGACTTCATCAAATTAAACAAGTAAGGAATTGAGGTGGTTGCAGTAAAAGTAATTCCTGTGGAAGTTGAGCTCTTCAGACCAATGTCTACGTCGGCTGTAGTAAGAGACATGCAAGAGCAACCTCTTTAGGCATTCACAGGGTCCTTGATCTTAACAAGCCAATCAACTCTTAGTATCACACTCCTGCAGAGCAAGTCTTGATTTCCATAAGAAAACACATGGATGTTGGTGGTGGGGAGTGGTTCAGTTGTAGCATCTGAGATAAGACTGAGCCTGAAATGGGCTTGTTAATCTTGTACTGTGAACTGAAGCGCTTCTTCTTGACCCCCATCAAAAAAAGAGGTCTTTCTCTCTCTCTGCCATATTTAATAATATTTTAATAAGAGTACATATCATTTTTATCCAGGGGGAAAATGTAATGGGTCCACTTTAAAGAACATAACTCAGAAAACTTCAAATGATGTGATGGTAGCTAATGTGATTTTTTTTTTAAAATTTATTTATTTATTTTTTAAACCTTTGGGTCTCTTTTGTTCTCTTGCAGGAAGAGGGCATAGATGTGATGAACAGAGAAACTGCACATGAACGGTAAGCTATCCATTTATACACAGTGTTTGAATGAGGAGATCTGCTGTGTTGTTGGTGACAGGCTGATGACTCCATGTTCTGATTGTTGTTGTGCACTCAGGGAAGTTCAAGCTGCTATGCAGATGAGCCATTCTTGGGAGGAAAGCCTTAGTCTGGTAAAAACTCTGTCCCATATATGTTGCTGATTATGTTCTGCTGACGGGCAGTTTTGCATGTTTTGGCCCCTGGCCTTTCTTGGTCTCTCTTTGTTACTATAGAGAGGACAAGTAGAAACATGCTAGAGTAACGCTGAAATAACTGGGAGTTAACAGGGCCACCAGTCTCTAAAGGTCAGGCTGAGTTGGTAGTATAATACTCCCACACTTGCAGTGATGTTACTATTGGACTAAAGGATGCTGTAAACACACGGTGAACTGTGAAATCTTTAATGTTTTTTAGAGTGACAATGATTTGGAAAAGCCTGTATCTTCATCTCCAAAGCGAATCGACTTTGTGCCTGTGTCTCCAGCCCCGTCCCCAACAAGAGGAATAGGAAAAAAGGTACATCTGACATTAACTGTGGTTAGTGTCACAGTTTTCTCGTTTTAGTTTCATTAACTAGATCTAGTTACTTACTATAACCCAGTTGACTAATAATTTAATTATGTGCAGCCTACAGGGAACAGTTGGCTGCAGTGAAGCAGGAGCTTCTTAGGCCTTTAGCCTTTTTCCACTAGTACCTGTTTGGCTCAGCACAGCTCAACTCCGTTTGTAGGTTTTCCATTATGCGGTAGTGCCTGGTAAAAAGAGCCGATGCGATCTGGAAATGTGACGCCAGCAGACTGCATTCACAGATTGGCTAGTCAGTGGCATCACTTGATGAGTCATGAGAGGGTCTCCTTCGTGAAAATCAAAACGTCCCTCTTTTAAACCCAGCAACGAGCGTGATGGCCAGAAAAAAAACACCGTGATCCCAGAGTCTGGCACAAAGCTGTAGACCGAGCGGCAGATATACCATCGCCTCAACATGCTGTGGTATTCATGTCTCATACACATGACTTCACGGGACTTTGGGCTGCATTGCTTTAACATCCTCATGCACATCAGGTGTTACCGGCTTGTAGTGGAAACCAACCAAAGTCGAGCCAAATTAGGTACTAGTGAAAAAAGGCTTCTAGTTTGCTGCAGCTCCAAGATGCAACATTTTCTCTTAAGAGATTCATTCGGCTTTTTTTCCAGCTCCACAAAACAATTCAGATTTTTATATTAGCACTACACTTTAATGTCTCCGTGGTCTGAAACAAACAATTCTTGCTCCTCTTCCTTCATTTGTCCCCCTCCTGAGGTGACCATGTAAAACCATCTAAAACTGAGTATTTGGAGCAGTCTGAAGTTGGTGTTTGTCTCATAAGGATTATTAACATCTGAGAGAGAATTCTACAACAGCAAAGATGACAACAGAAGTTTAATTTTCAGGGTTTTTAAATCCTTATTTTGAGGCAAAGTCTTAAAACTATCAGTGTCTTACTGACCAAACAAGTACTCCAATGATAGTTGCAAAGTGGTATGTCTTACTTCATAATGGGCCCACTTTAATTATTGTTTCATGTTAGATTTTGTATATAGAAGCCAATATTTATTTGTTTTTATTTTCGTCTAAATTCTTTTGGTACAATGAAGTCAGATGTTTTTGAGAGGTTTATTTACCCCTTCTTTTGACAATTAACATATAAGGAACTCTAAAATATTAGAACAAAAAGATGACGATTAAGCAGTAATTTTTCACCACTTGAATGTTATCAGTTGCAGATTTATCTAATGCGTTATCTATGTTTTCTGCTCTCCCCCTCCTACAAGCAGCAGTGTTTCTCTCCTTCACTGCAAATTCTGGTGAGCAGCAATGGTCTCACTCCCAGCCCAATACCCAGCCCAACACGGCGATTTGGGTGAGTACCAATTCTTTTGAGCTGTCACAGCTTAAAGTTAAAGAGTTAAAATCTGTCAGTTACAAACTTTGCACAATTATGTTTGCAACTTCAGCTCATGCCCACAGTTTGTTGCTGTATTTCCAAATGTATTCATTTGAATTGTTCCTGTTTTCTGTCTTGTTCAGTCGACGGAGTCAAAGTCCGATCAACTGCATCAGAGCCAGCATACTCGGTCCAATAAAACGCAAAGGTGAGTCGTGCTTTAGACATGCTTTCAATGCTCTGTGTAAGGGAGGCTTTGCACATTAACGCAGCAGCAAACAGGCACACTCCCTCTGAGTGTGTTGCAATCAGACCTACCTCTGCTCTCTGTTTTGGTAGCCGATTTGAGTGCATGTACATCCTGGCATTTGTAACCTCTGACCCTCTGTGTTTATACGGAGATTATGAGATTGACCTCCCACTCAAAAGAGATGAGCTATAATCGCATCAGTTTGCTGGTGGCGTCCTAAAACAAACTTTAGCTACCTTAAGCATATTTTACTTTATGTTTTTAGGGTTTAGGCGTCGGTCCTCTGACTTGTCTGGTGTAACCTCTGCACATTGTTCTCGCTGTGGGATCAGGGGCCACTTTATTTTACAACACCTTGCTGAGGGAGGAGTTAATCATGGCCAAGGTGTTCATCTGTTTTGACTTGAGAGACTGGTGCTCACATCCAGTGATTAATGCCTGATTTAGACTTATTTAGGAAATCTACATCATAACCAGAAACTTGTTTTAACTCAATAGGCTGTGACCTTCCACACCATTCAGTCTACGTGAGATTACTCTGAAAGGTCACAGCGAAGGGTTAAAAAGGTTTTCTGATCATGATGTAGATTTCTTTTATGGTTGGAACTAGGGTTGGATGATTTGATCTATAGTCCCTCCATTATGGCAGCACTATCCACCCTTTATAAAGCACAATGTGCCAAAAAAAATTCCCCAAAAAGCAAAAAACTGGTGAGTGGGCTCATTAAGTTCCAGTTTCTAAACCATCATGCAGTCAGAAGTATCCTGTTAGTGTCTTCTGTCATATAATGATGATCAATTTGAAAGTCTGGGCATGAACCTGTGTGCCCTCAGACATATGTTTCGAAAGTGTTGGTTATGGGAGGGATGTGGATGTGAACATGCAACTTAAAACTTGAATCGGATAATATTTAATTTAATGCATCAAAGGGGAAATGAGGTGAAAGTCGTCTTGTTTGGTGAGCTCTGATGTTATCGTCCATCAGCACGACCGTAGTCAGAAGCCATCTGTTCAACATATCGGCCTTGAAGCTTTGATTCTAATGAAGAATATATTTATAAAGAAATGTCGGACATCTAAGAATTGAATACATTTTAAATGGTATGACATGCATATTTCTGTTAATCATCACTGTTTTTAGACTACAGGACAAATGTTGTGGAAATGAGTCTTCGGTGGTCTTTATATTGATGAAGTTAATTTATTAAGCGCTGTGGTGCAGGAAATGCTTGTTAGGCTGGTAGGGCTGTGCGATATGACCAAAATCTCATATCCCGATATGAGACATTTATCATCCTGACTAGAGCAGGGCGATATGGCCAAAAATATTTATCACGATATATATTTGAAAATTTGCGACGATATAATTGATGCGAGACAAAATACAACTCCACAACATTACTAGCGCAAAAAGACAACCTTCCATTTATTTTCACTTAAATAAGAAGCTGGTTTTTATGTACATTAAAGCTTTATAAAAATGTAACAGTGCAAATGCAAATTCCTTGCTGAAAGTTTAACCAAAAGGCATTTCCAGTAGAAATGGGCTGACATATCCTGAGCATAACCATGTATAATATCCACTGAAGTTAAAAAGAGGTGCTTTGCAACATTAAACTGCAGTGTGCAGTACGTATTTTTCGGACCATAAGGTGCACGGGATTATAAGGCACATTAAGCGAAACAAAGCAGTCAGATAAATCAAACTTTATTAAACTCATTCTTCTTGCTTCCTCCACTTCTGTACCATTGATTCATTAATGTTGAATTCTCTGGCAGCTGCTCTATTCCCATGTTGTTGCAGTATATTAATGACTAACCTCGTATTGTGGATGGATTATCTCAGTTGTTCTCCTGACTGAAGTTTGGTCCGTTTACAGCATCCTGCCATGCGATTGCATTTGTCTCTAACCATGAGGAACCTTACACGTTAACTTTTATAAGTGGAAAAGTGTTAGTGTTCGTCCTCCAGCTTCACTGTTTATGTTATGCTAACATAGCTGTGTCGCTAGCGATCACGTAGCACATCATTATATACCAGCTAGCCCAACTTCAGTAACCCTACAAACGTCACTGCTGTTTAGTTTCCTGTCTTCATTTATGTTGGAAGTGATAGCAGAGCTGTACGTTTGAATTTTTTCAGAAATCTCTCAGTCAGAACATGCTATATCATGCTTAGGTAACGAGCTAACTTCCGCTAGCTTCCTGCTAACTTCTAACTCCGTTAAATGTAATAAATTTTGTTTTCATGGATGCCTGGAAGTTAAACTTCATAGTTACACCTGGTAAAGCAGCAATGCTGATCGTTTTATTAAAGATGAAAGAATTTAGACAGTTTTTAACTCTCAGTGATGCTGCAGTGTTCGTTTGACCTGAAGTACGGAGTTTAGGACCCAGATTACTCCCAGATTTAAGAGCATCTTAGTCCGACAAATATGACAATAACGACGGCCGCTTGCATGTTCTGCAAAAAAATGTGCTTTGTCGTGTATCTGACGGACAAACATCAAACCAGTTCCACATCATTGAAGTTGCACCATTTTTACAAACCAATTCTGGTTCATCTGTTTCACTCAACAATCGGCCATGTGCGTATGAAAACAAAGGCACTGCGCATGCGCGTTTTACTCATATTCTATCGCGATGTTTCATTTTCCTAGCGTTGCCTAACATTATACCGTTATTACCGTGAACGGTATAATATGGCCCAGCCCTAATCCTGACAACTAAATATATCACAAAATTTTTACATTTTCTGTAAATTCTGTGAATCTCGGGCAACTCGACTTGGTTAAAGTGTTTTCAGCTGGGCGTGGTGTACCTGGAGTCGTGGCACGGCCACAATTTTCATTGAGTATTTATTACACGGCGTGCAGCAGGGAAACGCCTGTTCTAAGGTTTATTTTTTTAGTACCTGACGGCTATTTTGTGTGATTCAGTTTATTTTGAAAAATCTGAACAGGATCTTCAACTTAATTATGAAAGGTTTATGTGGGGAAATAAACAAGCGGACGGCGGAGCCACGCAATGATTTTACCGTTGTTGTTGTTGCTAATGACAACGCTTAAAAACAGCCACTTGTCCATCTGTAGTGTGGTTATATTAAATATAAGAGAAAGAGAGAACTTCAAGAAATTCTACAGTTACCATCAAAACAATGGAAAAAACTTTGCTGTCAACAGTTTATTTTGCGATACCACGAAACAAACAATAGCGTAACATGAAACGATAGATGTTTCGTCTGATGTATCTCGTTGTAGCGAACAGCCCAATAGGGCTAGACATGCCAGCCGATGTTATACATGAGATTCAAAATATTTTCCAAACAGACTTGATGATGTTGTGCTTGTGCCATATCTGTGGTTAAACAGTATCTATAATGGTTCATGGAAATAAAGATTCTTGGAAGAAAAACATTTGACTTGTGATCTGGACACTAAATGTTAATGCCACACAACTCTGTTTGGTTACATGTCTGACGAGCAGTCTCAACTCAGAGTCTGAGTCTGAGTCATCTGAAATCAACCTGCTCTTCAGTCAACAAACTGACTGCATGTTATTTCTAAATGGAGTAAATCAGTGTGAGAATATTAAATCATTCTAACCTCATTGTTTTGAACTAAAATAACATTATATGAGAGGGTAACGCGTGTCACAACCGGCTCAGGCTGGTTGTTGCTGCTGCCATTGTAGCCAGTAAATGTGTGCCTGTGTGTGTATACACAGACGGGTAAAGTAGAGTAAACCTATTGCAATATGCAAATTCTGAGAGGTTTACATTTGAATCCTTAATCATTAAACATGACATTTGTTTTGATTTTGGGTGTGTTGGTGTGTGCATGTGTACTTTATGGTCCTCTGTTGACAAAACACTGCCACGCTGCAGATTGAACGTGCTGTTAATCACTATGGACGTGACTAGGTAAAAGTTCACCAAGTGTAAACTTTGCCTGTTCATCTGCCTGGCTCTTTTGTGAATAGTCGCACAGCTCATGTGTCAATTTCTAAATGTTGGACGCTTTTTACTCTGCAGGTGAGATGGAAACGGAGAGTCAACCCAAGAGGCTCTTCCAGGGCACCACCACCATGCTGTCCTCGGATGTCTCCAACCTGTCAGATCTCAGCTCCTGGTAAGTAACTCTCAGGCCCATCAACAAATAAGAAGCTGCTTAGATAAGGATGAGCTTTTGAGTGCTGAGGCAAGTAGGCAGACACACTGGCTGTAAAAGCCAAGCTTGATTACTAGTCACCATCTCGTAAATGGGAAAACAAGGAAACCCCTACATGAAGAGGATTTGAGTAATTAATAGGGGATTTTATTGAGCCTTGTTGATTCTGATCGGAATCAAATGTCAGTCACCTCACTGGCAGCAGTTTTACAGTTTTATTTAAGAACTATTTACTTCCATAGAAATCGAAGTATATTGATTCTGGGGCGATTCTCAAAGTTGAGTCAGTGTGAGTGCTGACATTTGAGATTTTGAGCAGTGCATTCATTCAGGGTGAATTAGTTATGCAAACTTTTCTGAAGACTACCTTTTTCTTCCCTCTCAGTCACTCTCCAGATTTACTGGATGGAAGCCTCAGCAGCGTGGGCTCCTCCACCGACTCGCCAGGCAAAATGGAGGGAGTGTCTCCTTCCTCGTCCAGCAACTCACCCTTTGCTTCTCTCCAGGATTTGTCTCCCAAATGAGCATGGGATATCTAAGACTATGGGGGGGAGAAAAAAAGAGTGGAAAAGACTTCTCTCCAGGGAACTGGTTTCCTTTTCAGACCCTTCACATCGCCAACTACATTTCCTTCAAGTGGAGTTTTCCCCCACACTTTCTTCTGACTGGCTGTTTTTATGGCTACCTTTTATGGAGGGTCTCGATTTTAAGGAGACTACAGCCATGGATGTATTTGTGTAAGAGGTAATCCTAGTAAAACTAGGACTGAGGGAAGTCGCTGCGCGCACCAGCTGCTAATTGATCTTGGATGGTGCCAGCCTTCGTAGGGATACTAATAAGTGGCTGTTGTATTAATCTGTCCTGCCAGTTCCCCTCACCAGAGAGAGAGACATTGAGCACTGGACATATAAAGACTACTTGGATGTGTGCATTTCCCTGTTTTTGTGCTGGAAAATGTCTGGCCCACTGGCCTTAGTGTGCGCACAGTCTGCAGATTTTGTAAGAAAAGATTTAACTTATTGTTTTCCTGCTGCCTGAGCAGAAATTCTAAATATTTTTATGGTATAGGCTGTGAACTGTGGTGTTTGCATTTTTTTTCTTCCCTCCCCTTCAGCTCCAAATAATGATTTGCTGCTACTTTAATTGGTAATTCTGAGCAAGTGGTAAATCATGATCATTCCTGGTAGTCTCAACACTAAAAGTTCCTGTGTTCTTACCAGGATGATTTTTGTAGATAAAAGTACCGTATGAAAATCTGACTTCTTTTTTCCCCTTGTTCCTTCTGGCAAAGTGTTCTTATTTATGGACAACACATTTGTTATAAAATTGGATTCATTCTATCTGCAGTAAGCCATCTGTGCTGTCATTTACACCAAATCAAGTGACTGCTGGAACACGAGGCAAAAAAACAGCACCATCACATTGTGAGTAAAGAGACTGCAAGAGACTGCTCTTTCTGCTGTGGTTACACTTTTTTTTTTTTCTTTCTTTTTTTTTTTCAACACATATTGCACAGGATGCTTGGTCCTGTAGTGTTTCAGCCTGTGTGAGTCTTAAGCAGGAAACAACTAAATTTGAAGAAGAAAAAAGTCTGACTACAATATGTGGAGGTTAAAGCCTGCACTGTGATATTTGCATCTAAATTTGGTTTCATTTGTCCTGACCCCAGTGTTCATATCCATCCGTATAACTCGATACTTCCGAACCCCTCTGTGGCTCTGTAACCTTAAATGTTTATGTACAAAAAGGAAGTGATTGTAAATCATTTTATGGAAGTGTGCCCTTTTAATTTAAACAAGTGTGGTTGCAGTTCACTTACTGATATATTTTTTTTTTTTTTTTTTTTTTTTTTTTTTTTTTTTTTAAATACAAATAGGAAAATGTTGGGGGTTTCTGCTTTGTTTTTGTTCCCTTCACGATGCGTTTTTTTTCTTCTGCTCATTTTATGAAGTGTTCAGGGCATGAACTTAGCAAATGATATGCTATACTGTATGTCTGTAATAGAGGCTGTAATCTGCTCGTCTTTTGTGACTGCTATTGTAGCGGACATCAGGAGTAAATAAATTATTTCATTATGCTTTTGTATCAGTGTTTTCTTCTGTATTAACGCTCGTATATGGAAGACCAAAACTACCAAAATGAAAAGAAATTCCCGAAATATTAGTCCAACGGAAATTGGAGTTTGTGGGGTTTTTCTCAGTTTATGACTGCCAGAAATCCAGAAAAAATAAGGAATGAATTAAAGAAATATCCAATCAAATGCACTGGATATATTTAAAAATCCATATAAAAATAATGCGTGGGGAAAATGGCAAACGATAAATGTAGGAAAACAAACATTATATGGAAATGGAAAAGTTTAATCGGAATAGCAAGTTTCACATTTCATCAATTACGGTAACAGTATTTTTATAGGACATTTCGTGCATTTATTTTTACTACTTTTTTTTTTTTTTTTTTTTGAGTCAATTACTGATTTTTCTCAGTTTTAGTACTTCATAAACCAAAACATACAAATTAAATGCGGATGCATCAAGGAGCACGACAGTGTTACCAGTTCTTCTAGAAGTAAACAATATTGCTAAAAGTATTCACTCGTCTACCTTCACATATGAACTTGAGTGACATCTGATTCTTAATCCATAGGATTTAATGATATAGTGATAACAGTTTCAACTCTTTAGGACTGAGTTTATGGAAATGTTTTACCATTCTCCCAGAAGCACATTTAAAAATAAACTATTTATATAGCACTTTTCAAAACTGAGTTCAAAGTGCTTCGCATTTTTGAGGACACTGATGTTGGACGAGGAGGCTGTGTGCCTCAGCATCCACTGACACCACTCTGTGATTCTACTGTTGCTGTTGTTCCCAGTTGCTTCCACTTATACCACTAACAGTTGACTGTGGAACAGTCATGGAAATATCCATGGAAGTGATTGGAACCCTGAATTCACTCACAATTCAGTGATTTGGATGGGTGAGTGAATACTTTTGGGAATGTAGTGCAAGTCTCACTGCTGCTATACTTGGGATCATTTTCCTGGTGCATGACCCACTTTCAGCCAAGCTTTACCTGTCAGACAGATTGACTCTAGAATACTTTGGTATACAAAGGAGTTCATAGTTGTAACGATAGTTAGTTGGTAGTAAGGGGCCCAAAGTGTGCCAAAAACATTGCCCAACTGTTTTTAGCCAACCTATAATTATGTAGCCTAATAGTTGCAGGGACATTTATCAAAATTGAGCTCAAAATGCCTCAACAGTGACATCTGCAGGCTAGAGGGGGCAGAGCCTGCATGAGTTCGGGCAGAGAAAAGGACAGTGCAGGAGCCTGACCTCTGCAGGATGGGATCTCTCATTTTATTTTAATGCACTTCAGTTTTTTTCATGCCGATGCTTGTTGTACCACATGGTAACAATGTGCACAACCTAAAGCCAATATCTGCAGTTGTGATAATAGTATCATTATTAATATATTGTTATTATTATATGTAAATGTTTGTTTATTAGAATAAGATCGAACTCTCTGAAAATTATTAACTAAGAAAAGATGGCAACAGGTAATTTCCTAGTAATTAATCTATTTATTATTTGAGGCATTATGATTGTGCTGTGTTGTTTACAGGATACCTGCTGGGATTCCCCTCCAGGCTTTTTAAAGGGAAGCATAAATGCTGAGATAAAATCTGTTTTGTTTCTCTTCGAAGGTTTTGGGAGTTCAAACTGCAAAATTTTGATTAATAAGAAGCTGAAACAAAACATCCAAGGTCCATCCATATCCTGTAGTAATTTGCAGATTTTCTTTCAAATTATGTTTATTACGTTATGTTTCAAGCCCAGATATACTTGAAGTTTCAGTGAGTCAGTTTTGAGAAGGAGTTTGTACCAGTTAAACTATGTTTCGGTATCTCAGTTTTGTTTGAATGGCTTGAAGTAAAAATTATAAAACACAGGGCTCCACGCTGCTGGCTCTGCAGGAAGTGGTGAGAGTTCTCAGAGTCCTTCTGATCACTGCATCTCAGATTTTGAATAAACTTTCCACTGATGTTAGAAAGGCCACTTTGAATTGAATCCCTGCCACTCACACAGCAACATAAAGCCAGGCCATTGTGTAACGCTCCATCAGAGATCACATGGTCCAGGCCATCCTGACAGGAATCAGAGAGATGTACACACACAGCAAACTTTGCACAGGTGCTGCTCATTAAAACTGTCGATGTAACAGTGAGTTTGCATGCTCCCTAATTACACCTGAGACTTTTGCTTTGGTGGATCAAGTTGGAGTCACTGAACTTTGTTTTCAAGACAGTCCCTCAATAATCAGTCAATCATATTTCATTTTTGTTCTTTTCGTTTTTGTCGGGACACTTTAGATAGTGGTGTCCAAGCTGAAATATTCACAGACGCTTTGGGTGGCTTAAAACATTCTTCCTTAAATGTGATTAAAAACACAAGTTGAAATAAGTATTTGTGCTGTTAACATGTGTCCACCTGGGGATGATGACTGTGGAGAAATGACTGTACTAGAAAAAAACGTAGGTTACTGGATGCAACAACTTTATAATAGTCCTTTACACCGTTTGTTTGGGGAGGCCAGACTTTACTCTGTGGTGGCTTTGATCACCTCTTCTCACTCCTGGTTGTATTTAGCTGTGTTTTGTTAATATTTATGTAATTTCATAGTACTTCACTTTTATTAATATCTCAATACTTCATAGAACAATGTGTGCATAATGTCTTGCATGCCTTCAGACAACCCTGTGCATGCGTATCCTCCATCTTCGCTGCTGGAAAATGCTTCCACAGATTTCAGTTCAGCATTCTCTTGAGTGTCACGTCCCTCTCTGTATAATTTCTTCAGTGTTATTTCTCTGCCTTATTTACAGCTTTAGAGGCAACTGGTTCCCAAGCAGCTGCACATCATGTTGCTTTGAGATGACACCCCTTCCCCGAGGGAGACCGCTGGATTATTTTCAGGCACCATCATTGCAAAACTAACAGGAGCTTTATTGTCCTGTTCTGTGCCGTGTGCTTTCCTGACACAACATGTAATGTGTAAAAAATAAAACAGAATCTATCTTTGAACATGACACACTACAGCTGTATTGAGACTTTATTAAACATTTGATAAAGCATGGCAAGCGAACCATTCTTCTTTCAAGAGGAGATCCCTCCTTTGGTGATAGGTAGAAGTATCTTACTGCTAACAAACTTAAAGCCCACTCATACAAAGTATCCACACATGCAAGGAACGGCATTTAGTCTTCAGTCTACTCTAAAAAGCTTTAAAAAAACATCAATTTAATAATGGTAACAGGTAACAAAACTTTAATGGCTTTATATACAAGTACCGCGTTTGCATGTTGATTCCTTCACACTGAAATGACCACTTTCTTTCACATAATGGCAACAGAGTTACAGACAATATGTGAGGCCAAACAACAGCAAATGGCCTCACGCTTCTTCACAGGCCCTTTATCTCAGGGACAGCTCCCCTCACTCTGACCTTACACACGACAGCTCTTCCCATTTACGTCACTTTAGTTCCGTGTATGTATTAACACAAATGTGTAGATTTGAAAACAAGTATGCTAAAATGTATTTTTCAGAGGATGAGGTAATCGAATAAGTACCCCTGTTCCCCTGCTGTCAGCTCTACTTTTTTTTTTACTCATAGTAGTGCCTCTGGTGGGAGAACATTCTCTTCATGTTTCTGTTTCTTTTCTTCCCTCCTTTCGGCTCACGGCACTTCATGTGCGTAGAATGACCATTGTAAGAAGCCCTAAAATATGACAAGAAATAACACCAGGTATTATAAACTTCATCACACGCTTTGTCAAAACAAACAGCCTGGTTCTCACTTCAGAATGGAACATGCAACTTCCTTCTGTTTTTACTCACCGAGAACATAAGCAGCTACAAGTTTCTTGTTAACACTTAAGTGGAGGTAGACAGGCACAGTAGATTCTTGCTCCCCCAGTGTCGGGAGCATCAGGGCGGCCATACACACCAGCCCAAGCAGTACTGTCAACAGACTGGGTCCTCCAGCAACAGGACGGCTCTCTGCAAGTGTCACATACACACAAATAAACACACTTAGATTGAGTGCAATCACTTGTGTAACTCAGAAAAAGCCTGGTAATTTACCAAACGAACTTAAACTGCTTCCATTTAAGTCTGAAGGGGGACCCAATAGCAATATACAGCAGATTATGTGGCACTAAATTAATGTGGGTATAATTAAGAATATTATTTAAAACAAAGCAACACAGGGTTGGAAGAACAATAATAAAATTAGAATAAGCGATATCGCTTGAAATGCTCACCAATTGAATTTTGTGACAATTTGGCTCCATCTAGAGGCAGTTTCACACAGCAGCGATTTCCTCTCTTTTTCCTACCTGTCTGGAATGCAGTCTGTTCAAAAAACTCGCTGTCAGCAATTCGGCGTTCCTCATCTTGGGGCCGGGGGCTAGGCGGGTCCTGTGAGGCAGAGGGACGGAGAGTGGCCGTCACCTCTTTGCGGCCCAGAGCTTTCCGCTGACTCTGCTCTGACACCTGCAGCCGGAACTTGTCGTAGACCCCATAATGGCACGCGCGCACATCTCGGTGTCGGATTACTCTGCGTGGATGCAGAAAGTTAGCTGTACAGACAGCAATAAATTAATCAATCTGCTAGTTTAGGTTCACCAAAGCATGAACTAACTCACATATCAACGCAACACTGGGGCTTGACGGCTCCAGTTGCATCCACCACGGTGTACTTGTTTGGCGCTGTGCACAGCACTGACAACGAGGAAAACAATACACGACGTAGCCATGTGATTGGAGATGAAAAATGAACATAACAATTATACGTAAACACAGAGATGTTGTTTCGATCTGCTCACTAACCTTTAAACTTGAGGGCGAACTCATAGGGATTGTAGAGCGTGAGCACCTGTTTGTGAGACGACTGATCATCGGCATAGAAGACGAGCTCATTGGGGAACACGAACACGGGAAGGCTTCCTCCCACCAGCTCTGGCGGTCGATGCTGCTGCTGCTGCATTGGCTCCCGCTGAGCTCTACCCTCTGCCCAGGCCCCGCCAACTCTTCTCTAGCAACTCTCAAGCTTTGTGAGCTCCCTTCAGGTGAACAGCACTTCCCACTCTCAGCTCCTTAGGGCCATGACATGATACTGTGAAGAAACACAAGTGATGAAACGCAAAATACGCCAAGAGGCAACAGCCTGTCACTCTTTTACATTTTATGAAACTCTAATAGGTTAGTAATAGTGTAGTGGTAATACATTTCTTTCATTTTTTCATATATCTCCTATAGCTTCTAGTTACCTTACACTTTACTGTGCCTGTTTGTTTACTTTAGTGACTCGAAGGCAGGTTTCTGCCCACCTCCCTCTTAGATGCTTTGTCTGTTTAGCTTCTCCCCCACCTCTGTGGGTTCACACCCTCTGTTTCCTCACCCCCACTGCATAACAAAGAGTGAAGCCATCCCCCGCCAACAAATGTTAACCCACCCCCATAGCCTTCATTTTATTATGATATTCTAGTATATTTAAAAGTACATTTAAACACTTATAACTTAATTAGATTCTAGATTTACTCTGTTTTTAAATACTCTGTATTTAAAGCAAAAAATATAATTATATCACTTACGTGATTAAAAAAATGAGAATGTTAGACTCATCTAAATGTTTTAGTTTAGTCTGTTTTTTAAATTTAACAGTGTAATAAGATATTTACATTGATAAACATTTAAACCTTTTCTAAACCACCTAAACCCACGTCTTTAAAACTTGAGCACAGCAAGGTTTTGTTATATACTGATAATCCTACACGTGCTATATTTTAACGCGACGTGTATTTTTAAAGGCAAATACTTGAAACAAAACTCAGACCTTAATGATAAGCGAGAAAGCTAAGGCAATTTCATTGGTACAACTTTTTATTAAAGGCAAACAAAGTTAAAGTGAACTCCATGTGCCTGGTCACGTGGCCCTTTGTGTTTACATGGTAACGGAAGAACTCGAGGAGCGAGACCTGTGGTGTCGTAACACTTTTTATTTTCTACGTATAGTTTGCTCCACGTCAGAAAAACACAATAAAATCACTACATTTGAAGCACGATGCTGAGAAGTCACTTTCAGTATATGAGATATGATATGTTATTAAGTTATCTAGATTTCTTTAGCATTTCGTTAGTGTATATAAACTCAAAACTGCCTTTAAAGCACAGGTAACAACGTAAACAGACACCAGAAATAGGTTTTTCGTTGAATATTTGACATAAATCTATAACAACTGTGATTTTAAATTAATACGGTGCCTATTATTAAGTAATACCGATGGTATAACATGTTCTTTATCTGCTCGTGTAATAACACATATTTTCACTGTAATGCTAACGGTGTTCAATACTGATGGCTAGCGTTAGCCGGCTAAGAAAACCCAGCTGATAGCAAATTGCCTCTTAAACGTTGTCTACACGCAGTGTCATTTGAGAAAGCAAAGCGCAGATTTGTTTAATTTCAATAGCAAGTCAGAGTGAAACTTTACCTTGTTGTCAGCACACGGGTTCGTGAAACGTTGGAGCTGTAAACGAGATCTGTGCTTCTGCTCCCACCCTGTTGTTGTTGCTCCTCAAGCCTTTTTTTCTTTGTGAATAATTGTACTGCAGACCTCGCGGTGCATGCTGGGATGGCAGAAGACGAGTACGTGAGAACGTAAATGTTCTCCCAGCACGCGGGCAACGTTTGGATCGGAGCAGAGAAAACTTTATCCCCCAGGCATAATTTAATTATATTTGCAGAATGCTTTGACAACATAACTGCTGTGAAAAAAATGTGCTCAGTTGTAAAGTATACTCACACTTTCCTAGTGCAATAAATTGTTTTCTTTAGCATATAACGTATAAATAGGCCAACTGAAAACAAGAAATAGCCTGTTTTAAACTTCCACCAGGCATGAGGAATTTTTCTAAACTGCTGGTATAAAGTTTTAAAACTTACTGTAATTTGATTTTTCCGTTATTTCTTAATATCATGGTAGCATCGAAGCACACTATCGTGACTTCAGTATTGTCGGAGTTACCACCATTACGGCCAAACGATACAAAAAATACGGTTCGGTAGCGAGAATTATTTTCCCGCTGTGGTATTTGCAAACTCAAGCATGCATGTGTAAGTTTCTTCCCCAGTTTTTGTTGTTTTAGTTAACAAGGTCATGTAACTACATGCGTTGTTATTACGTTAGTCAGAAGGACGGAGCCTTTGAGACGCCTTGAACGCAGCAAAATAATCACATCTGTGGGCGCGCGTGTGAGGTTGTGATGGGGCGGGAGGGATACGGTGCAAGCGGCAAGAAATTTCAGGTCTAAGAATACAATTCTCACACTGCAACAAACAGTTATGTGGCTTCAAACTAGCCTCAAGGGACCACAGATACGAGGGCATTATATCACGCTTTTGAATAACCACCCCCAACACCAGGAGACTGACAAACTGTACTCACAAGCCATTTCGACTTCGTTATATCTGTGCTTGAGGGGGCGTGGTCATTTCCATCGGACTCAGCCAATGGCGTCGCACTGAAAGGAGCTGGGCGTTCCATTCGGTTAGGAGCAGAAGTTGAACAGCGCGAGCCGAGACAGAGCTCTAGAAAGGCAGATAGGGAGAGGGCAGAGGCAACGGCCCTCTACTGGAGGGGGGGCTTATTATAACAAATATATACACACATGTGTGAACTGTTGGGCTGCACGATAGGTCATATGTGGATAATAGTTATTTTAGAAAAGCATATAACTGCGGCTTTACATTTAAAATGCCTATTTTACTTTTCCTGTTAGACACGTCCGCCTCTATGAATCAGCGCACTTATTTGGGTACGACGTATCTGGACGTTGCTAAAGGCGCGGTTGAGGTCTTTATGAAGGTAAATAATGATTTTACCCCGACCTTTTTCAGCACGTATGCACCTTTGGTTAGCTTAGGGTTCCTTGGGGAAGATAGGTCAAAATTAATATATGTTGTTTTGGTTTTCTTTTTTGACAGCTGCGTGCCCGAGACCCGGCTAGTAGAGGCGACAGGTACATGCTAGTTACATTCGATGATCCACCATACGGAGTGAAGGTAATTAGCAACTGATGCCATTTTTACATTTTACAAGCCGTTCGTATTTTTCTGTCAGTGAGATTTTATTGTCCTTCTGGTTTGTAGTCAGTGTTGGGCGGCTTCCCGGTGGCAAAAAACGGTAAATTAGTGCTCCAAATACTGACAAACGCGGAGCTGCACTGCCTCCGAACATCCAGCAGACATTTTGCTTTTGTGTTGAGAAAAGTCTCGGGCGTTGAGATGGAGGCGTGGAGATTTATTATCAGCTATGACGTCGCTCTTTTTTTAATATAACAACGTGTAGACTGGTCAAAGAGCCCGCCGATCACTTTTTACCCCGCCCCTTGCATCAGTCACGCATCGCCATTGGCCAATCTGGGCTGAAAGTTGATAAGCCCTCTTCATCATGAGATCTCTTTTTTTTTGTATTTTTATGAGTTTGCTCATGTTCTCATTATTCATATTATAATTATTTGTCATCCCGATACGAGTGATCGTCATGTCCTTGCATAGGAGCAGTAGTCTTCATACATGCACAGACACACAGGAACAAATAAATACAGCGTGGGAATCACTGCGATCATTTCACGGGGTTAATATCAACAAAGGTTTCCTGACTATAATCTATTCACATGTTTTATGACCAGACACATATCTCCATCTGATCTTTTCATTCCCAATAAAATACAATCCACATGAACCCCTAAGGTCCCTGGTGTGCTTCAGTGGCTGCTCTCTACACTATATTAGGTCTCTCCAGGCTTCCATAACTCTGTCTACAAACCACACTCTACTACTCAACACAGCGTGCAGGGAGCTTACTCCGTCTTGTGCCATCACTGCCTGGAGAAAACAGAATAGTTTGCATGCCTCACTACCAAGAAGCAAAATGCTCAAAGCTGAAGAGTTAATAAATGTACAAAAGCATATGTTAGAAAGCATCGCTCAGCTCACAGTGTGATGACAAATTACTTCCACATTTCAGTTCTTTATAATCCTCTCAAAAGCTGAGTTACTGTTTACTCTGAACTGTTCAAAGAGCAGCGGTGTTTTTAAAGACACTGAAACCAGAAGTGAGATTCTGAAATCATATCTCATGATAATTAAATGCAAACTATGTGACACAGTATTTTATGCTCCATCTTCATATGCCCAGTCATTTGGATAATATACTTAAAATCATTATTTATTATTCAAACTAATTCAAGGTTTCAAAAAAGCTTATTTTAAATTTAAAACATTCAACTCACTACTATTAATCTAGTTATACTTTTGACTACTGTGTAATTACTTGTATATATATATATATGTGTGTGTATATGTATATATATATATATGTGTGTATATGTATATATATATATATATGTATATGTATATATATATTTGTATGTATCTTGGTGGGACGCGTAGGCTTCTTCTAGTGATTTGATGTTTTTTTCTAATTCCTGAATATTTTTGTTTTCTTTTTTCTTTTTATGTGATGAGAAAGAAATTATTTTACCTCTCATCACAGCTTTCCCTGCTTCCCATAGAACAGAAGCTGATGTTTCGGGAGTGTCATTATAGTCCAAATATGAAGTCCACTCTTTTTTAAAATATTTAATAAAGTCTTCATCTTTAAGTAGTGATATATTAAATCTCCAGTTTTTTCTTGGCGTAGTATTATTCTTGTGCATTAGTGTTAAAGATACAGGACCATGATCGCTGACAGCTATAGGGTGAATCTCAGTGTCTGAAATGTCGTTCAGCAGTGAGCTGCTGACCAAAAAATAATCCAGACGAGAGTAGGAGTGATGGACATGTGAGAAAAAAGTATATTCCTTACTGGTGGGGTGAAGGGAGCGCCATGCATCGCAAAGACCAAAGTCGCTCATATACTGTTTGATTATATTTGTGGACTGCCAATTACGCTGAGTTCCCGCTGTATTGAGCCTATCCATGTCTTCATTTAGTCCAAGGTTGAGGTCGCCTCCAAGAACAAGTGTGCCATCTAAGTGTTCAGAGAGTGCACTGAAAAAACCGTGAAAGAATGAGGGATCATCAACATTTGGACCATATACACTTGCAATACATAGCTTTTTATCAAGTATAGATAGTTTAATGATTAAGAATCTGCCCTCTGGATCTATAACTGTATCGAGTACTGTGAAATTAATATTTTTATGTATTAAAATTGCTACTCCCCTTTGTCTAGAATTATAACAAGCTGAGAACACATTGGAAACTCAGGTGTTTTAAGTTCATTCGAACCTCTAAGAGGTCTGTGGGTCTCTTGTAATAGGACAACATCTGCCTGTAGTTAAAAATGAACGATTATAGTTCCTCTTACTTTACTAGGGCTGCTCGATTATGGCAAAAATGATAATCACGATTATTTTCACTGAAATTGAGATCTCGATTATTTGACGATATTTATTTAACAATAACAATGTATTGAATAATGACTTTAAAGATTGTCAAAAAATAATATAAAATAGTGTGCAAATACTGATAACAGTGCAAATGTTTGCAATATAAAAAATAAATGAAAAATGTAAACATCTATGTTTAGTGAACTTTGCAGTGTTGCTCTGTGGTGCAGCTACGACACTGTAGCAAAGTTTACACACTATGTCTACTTGATCCACGTCTGACTCCGCGAACCCATAATGTTTCCACACCACTGAAGTTTTTTTTACCTCTCTTTTCAACCAACGCAGTCACTCTCCTCTCCAAATAACTTCTGCTTAGCTTTCCGAGCTTCCCTCGGGTCCTCTTAATCAGCGGTCCCCAACCCCCGGGCCTCGGACCGGTACCGGTCCGTGAGTCGTTTGGTACCGGGCCGCGAGAGTTGAGGCTCAGGTGTGAAATGTATAGTTTTCAGGGTTTTTATCGGTTTTCAGCGTTATTTTGTTATCGTTTTTATCGTTACTCGGTTTTCCTGGGTCTTTTCACGTGTGTTATGAATAAATCTTCTTTTTTTCGGTACCGGTACTAGTTTTATTTTGTTGATCCGCGACACCTTAAAGGCCGGTCCATGAAAATATTGTCGGGCATAAACCGGTCCGTGGCGCAAAAAAGGTTGGGACCGCTGCTCTTAATTGTTGTGACACGTGTTCGAAATGCAGAGAGGTGCGCTCGATTTGCCACACGGAGCAGCGCGAGAGTAAAGCACGAGGGAGGGGCTAATAATCGGCTCAGTCATTTTTAATGATCGTTGAAAGCCCAGATCGTAATCGTGATTAAAATTCGATTAATTGAGCAGCCCTATCTTAAACTGCTTACTTTAGAGCGTGAAAGAAATGAAAGCACCTGCCAAGGCCCAGTATAAGTATTTTGAACTCTCTGTTAAAGCTGCATTGCTGAACTAAAATAAGTCAAAGAATAAAAATATGAAGTTGGAAATGACCCTGATCTCATCTTATTAAATATTGTGTGTAATTTTCATATGGTTGTTATATTGCTATCTATAGGACTCAGATTATCTACTTGTATTGCAATTAACACTAGGGATGGGTATCGTTTAGGTTTTATCCGATACCGGTGCCAAACCGGTACTTTTGAAAGGTGCCGGTGCTTAAACGGTGCTCAAACCGGTGCTTAAAGAATGGAGAACACAAAATTGGTCCAAAAACCTCTCATGTTCAGCTGTTTTTTTGTAAAAAGATAACAATGTTAGCCTTTTCTGCAGCTATGGGGCATATATGGTATCACTCTTGGCTGGAAGCAGTGCTTAAACAATGGAAAAAACACAAACTTTGTCCAAAAACCTCTCATGTTTAACTGTTTTCCACTTTTTCTTTGGTCATTTTAGCCTTTTTGGCCAGGGTGAAGGGAGTATCTGCCATCAAACAAGAAGACAGCCGCATGTAGCTATGATGATGTTTGCTAGTTCACCTTACATGCATTAATGTAATAACGTGGTTAGCCTACTCAACGTAAATTACACACGAACAACATTAAGCTACTCACGCAGAGAAGAACGGCTGCTGCTGCATCATCATCCGTCATCATTTCTGCTACACTGGCAGGGCTAGGGGCCAGGACTCTCCTCTTCGGGTTTTTGGGGGATGTTGCTAACTCCGGGTCCAATAACAGGCACCACACCCGCAGTAGACGTGCTTGGTGTGAGGTCTCGCAGTAAGCTATCAAATACGGCGCATTTCTCGGCTTTTAAAAAAAACGTTATGCGTCGCCAGGTGTTTCATCGGATTTGAGGTGTTACCTCCTTTGCACAGTATCACAGGATCAGCTTAAAGCACTTGTTGCTGCTGAGTTTGTATATTTTGCTGTGAAGTACAACCAGACTTTTGACCGCTTTGCCTTGGGCATTTTAATCTGTAGCTCTGCTCTAACAGAACGTACGTACCTGGCCCCGCCTACTATCCTCGGAAACGTAAAATGATTGGCTAGAATCTAAAGTGTATCACAGCTCAGGAAAAAAAAGCACCGAAATAAAGCACCGAAATGTGCGCTGCTTTTTGGTTTGGTTACGCACCGGATACCGGTACTCATCCCTATTCACCACCAGTTATAGATTAAAACAATCCAAAACATGATTCTCACCCCCCCACCACTCAGAAGCACCCAGGTGCTGAAGTGCTTTTTCCTCATTCTAAAGTCTACCCTCAGCTTCATCCTGCTCTTCCTGTCTTTGTCTTTGTTGCTGTCCCCTCTTTTATTGCTTTCTTTGTGTGCCGAGGATTACGATAAAGGACAAGGTTATAGTGAACGGAGCTAGTCTGATTGCACAGTTACAGAAGCAATAAATTGTTGATGCAGAGGGAGAGAGAGATGAGGTTGGGTGGGAAGAAAATAGAAATATTCTGTAGTCTGAATTATTGAGTGCACACTAAGCCTTACACTTCTGTCAGGGATGATCTGTGTCTGGGTTTCTTTGCTGCTAACCCTCTTGAGTGTTTTTAGTGAGGTTTTCTTGTATAACTGCCCAATATTCATCTAATGTCATTCACATAACAGTGTGCTGTGTAGAAATTCCATCTAAATCGTGGCTTTGGAGTCATATCTCATGTTAATCCAAAAATCTACCCACTGGCTTGATTCGAAGCATTCGTGTTCATCCCAGCAATTCAAGCTTCTTCTTTTTTATTCTCTCTCTGTCTCTTCCCCTCCCTCTCCTAGCAAAGGAAGTGGTAAGCTTGCAGGTCATCCTTAGATTAAGCATGAATCTGCAGCGGTAAAGCACTTGACCCCGCTGGAGAAAAGTCCAAGTGCAGTTACACACTCACATCCTCTCTTAGCAGTATCTCTCTGTCACGGAGGACAGGCAGCGCTGGGAAGTGTATTTTTGGATGCTTGTCATGTATGAAATTAGACCTTTTCTGAAAGGCAACTTGCAGCTCAAACGTGGGTGTGAGTTTCAACAGTGTTATCTTCTATTTCCAGAACTTCACATTACCTGATCAAATTTTATAGTTACAATTACGCCACGGTGCAAAGAGTCAGTGAAACTGAAACTCCTCTTACCAAAGGGTCAGTTTGAGCTTTTCAGTGAACACAATTTGCTGTGTTTTTTTTTTTTTTTCTTATAATGACGATCTAACTATGTGTGGGTGTGAGTCTTTTTTGCAGAACAGTGACTTCAGACCTCCTTCGCTACTGCTTGTGCCTTTAACACATGTCTCTGCACTGCTTGTGTTTCAGGCCGGCTGGAAGGAGAACCATGCCACTTTCATGTGCGAGCTGAAGAATCTGCAGGCGTCCGGGCTCACAACATTAGGACACGCTCTTCGCACCGCCTTCGACCTGCTTAACCTCAACCGCCTCATCTCGGGAATCGACAACTACGGGCAGGTGTGAAAGGTTTCAGAGTTATTGAAACAGAACTTGTTTCATTGTTTGTTATGGATGTTAACACAACACTGCATAGTTATTTTTAAGCCCTTTTCGAGCATCCATGTTTCCCACAGATTCATTCATAGGGAGAGCCACAGTACGCATGAGCAAAGTCGCACTTCACGTTGTATACGTCAAGTCTAGTAAAGCAAAATCCCAATTTATGTTTACATGATCTGCAAAGGTGGCCCAGATTATTGTGTGTAGTGTGAGGTTTATTTTCCTTGTTCCTCTTTGTGTATAGTTTTCAGTTACTTGGCAGTCTGTTTGTGATAATATGGCAACAAAATGTGACAAGTCAGGAAAAATCCCAAATCTGTTAGTGCTACATACTCAGAAATTTACAATAACTACGCATTCATGTCATCAATCTTAAATAGAAATTCAGAAACAGTGGTGTAAGTGTTGCAGGATGGTGATTTGTCTGCAGAGTAATACAGGTGTAGAGCAACTTTGCTTTTATATCGGAATATACCCTATAGCTGGCAACCATTTGAGGCAAGTCTCCTATTGTAAAGAGACTTGTCACAGTAGGGTTGCGTAGACAGACTCACACTGATTGCAATGCGTTGGCACTTTGTCTGCATTTCTAAATTAGACAGCAGTTATTTGTGAAGCTTTCACAGTGTGGCTGAGAGCGATTGCAGTCGGTCCCAATCAGATCCTGATGGTTTTGAGACGGGTACCCCACCAGGTGACTTATGCAATTTACTTGTGATAAAGTTGCTACAACTACTTGCAGTTTTTTCAAAAGCAAAAATGTTGAGTGCAATCATCAGGCAACCAACTGTTTTTTTCCTATTCACAAGGAGGTTGCTGTCCTACTTTTACTTTCATGTGAATGAGCCGTTAATCATGAGTCTGAAATTACCTCACTCAACAGTACTGAGTGTCTCACCACAGGAATCTTGTGTAGTGGGGCTGACTGATGCAGTTAAAGTTGCCCATTAGTGCATGACGTCTTGGAGTTTGGGATGAAATCTGACTGAGTGAAGCCATTTACTGTATATCACATTTCCACCATCCTGTGCTCCGACTCTACATCTGCACAGACATTCATCAAAAAAATCGTCTCTCTTTCTTCTCATCCTCTCTGTCACCTGCTCACATACTGGTTCCCACTGAATATCAGCCTATAAATGAAACCAGAAACACAGGACTGTGACCAAATCACACTGGAATCTGTTACTGTTTGCTAGGGGAGAAAAAATCAGGACAACATAGTCAGTAGTCTATGTCATAGTCATAATCAATATTTTGCGTGGCAATATTGTAACAATAGTAGACACCAAATATTGATATTTTATTAAGTAAAATGTGATATTTTTGATATATAATAGATATACCATGGAATATCAATATTTGCCTAATAGGAGGCAACTTTTCTGCAAACAGTTGCAGGCTGACTGATTGCAGTCGCTCTCAGAGGCACTGTCATAGGTTTGCAAATAATTGCTGTCTAGTTTATAAATGCAGTGAGATAACACGTTGTCATTAGCAGTGTTGGTCAAGTTACTTGAAAAAAGTAATCAGTAACTAATTACTGATTACTTCCCCCAAAAAGTAATCCCATTACTTTACTGATTACTTATTTTCAAAAGTAATTAATTACTTAGTTACTTAGTTACTTTTTAAAAACACGATTTACAACCTGAAGAGGTGATAAAGCGATAGATCTTTCAGCCCAATTCTACTTTTTCTGCATAATCCATCATACAAAATGTAATCAAATGGAAAAGTCTCTTTTTTTAACTTGTTTTATCAGTTTTAATCTTTTAACTTTATGCATCAAGCAAAAATTTAATTATATGCAACATTCTCTGACTTGAAGAAATTAGTTTAACATTTAAACCTATTTTCTGCACATTCCAGCACATAAAATAAAATATTTTTTGTGTTTACACTCAGTCTTTCAAATAGATGCAAGTAAAACACAGCAGAAAATAAATAAAGTCAAAGACTCAGCGGTCCTGTTGCTCTATTTTCACCTGTAAAGCAGGAGTGGGTAGGCGGAGGTTTACCCTGGTGCAGGTGTGCCGCAGCGGTCAGTGGAAGAATCCGCGAGTTTCTCTGTGAATTTCCCATTACGTGGTACGCACTCGGTGCTTGTTTAGGGTTTTTTTTCGCTGTAAAAAGAAGTTTTCTTCCCACGCACAACGGACGTAATGTTTTTGTCACTTTTTATGGAATCAAACTCAAAGTAAGGTCAGTACTTCCACGCTTTAAACGCTGCACGCTCATACTCTCTCCCGCACTCGATATATTATCCATTGTTGATCTGCACGCTGTTGTCACGAACGTCGCACTCGCTTACGTCATTGTCATGAGACATTCTCGCAAAAAAATCACGGTTTTAGTAACGCAGCGTTCCTACGGGAAAGTAACGGTAATCTAATTACGTTTTGCAATAGTAATCCCTTACTTTACTCGTTACTTGAAAAAAGTAATCAGATTACAGTAACGCGTTACAAGTAATGCGTTACAAGTAATGCGTTACAAGTAATGCGTTACAAGTAACGTGTTACTGCCCATCTCTGGTCATTAGTCGGATTGAATCTTAGTAAATGAGCACAATTTGAGGGGACTCGACTCAACTGGCTGTATTCTGGTTATCTTCAAAAAGAACAGGAAAGTTTCAGAGTGCAAATTATATAAATGAATTTCTGTCTGTTTAGAAACGAACATATGTGGGATTTATGACACTTTATTACAGGTAATGGTTGTATTATCAGAAACATATTGGATGTATTCAACACCTTGACTCTGTCTTATGGCAGCATTTATGGCAGGTTTTAGTGACAGTGTCGGTGTGCTCGACAGTCTCATTTTACACCATGCCTCATATTATCATGTAGGAAATGTTTTAAACCTGTTGATTTGATTTGATTTGATATACCTTTATTAGTCCCACAAGGGGAAATTTCATAATTTCATAAGGCTGCCGACCTATTGCATGCAATGGCGGCGCCATCTTACCCTCCGACCATACATACATGACACAAAACATCACATGGGGAAGACAGGTCAGAGGGGTTTAACATGGAAAAGCACAACATGAGGAAAGATAAGGAGATAAAAAAATAACTCCCCCCAGACTGAGCTCCAACAGGGAGATCAGTTTGAGAACAGAAAAAAACACCTCTGCACATAGCACATGAAAAAAAACTCTTAATACACCAAAGAAACACATGACAAGCAACAGGGGTGGGTAAAGGGTGAGAGACAGCCGATTTAGACAGTACATCCGGGCCTGCGTGCGCTGGTCTCCTTGATCCACCGTCAGCATCGGAAGGGAATGAGCGTTGAAGGCGTTTGGAAAGGGAGGAGGGATGAGTGTGTGCATATCAGTATATGTATGTGTGTGCGTGTCCAGAGTTCAGCTGAGACAGTGTCCTTCGCCCTGCTAGGCTAAGTAAACAGTCTTCCAGCCAACCCAGGTGGCCTTGCATGGAATGGGAAGGAACAGACTAATAGAGCTGGGCGATATAAGATTTTTTCATATCACGATATGTTTTTTTCATTTCAGGCGATAACGATATCTATCACGATATAAGCCAAATAACTATATTTGTAAGATTTAAATGTGCCGTTGCTCACAAGTAAAATGTGAAATAATCAGCAGCTTGTTTTATTTAAATATTTATTTCCCATAATAAGTTCAACAGGGTAGATGTACTTAAGGAACATGAGACTTTTTCAGATAAATAAAGGCAAATATTGCAAACTACACAAAAGGCAGCCCTAAAGCGTTTAAGTTTCAAAATAGAACAAACGAAACAGACTAAATTGTCAATTCCACTTAGAAACAAAATATTAATTCTAAAAATAAATCTTAGTTTGTTTTACAGAAGAACAGACAAAACTGACTAACTTTTGTCAATATCAAATAAACTGAGAACTAAAAGGAAATTCTCAATCTCTCCTTGTTGTATAGCTGAGCTTTTCAAACAGTTTTAACAGTTACTTTAGTCTGACAAAAGCCGAATGACGAATTAGCGCTTCCAGTCAGAGATTGAGCATGCACCGCTTTATTGTATTTCCAGACTTGCTTTCGGCACAATTTACAGTGCGCGCTACTCTGTTTTTGTCAGACTTGAAATAGCCGAAATACCTTCACACTACGGAACTTCTATGGCTCTTCCGTTCGACAATCTCTCCGGCATTGGAACCATCATCTGTTTTCTCTTCGGTAACCTTCGGTCACGCTCGGTTGATTTTTCTCTAGTCAGTCATTTCCTCCATTACCGCTGGCTGCTTCCCAAACAAATACACATGTGCGGCACGTAACAAGTCACGTGACGTGACGCTGCGGCTGTGATTGGTTCGGCTCTGCGCTACTTAATTTGGATTGGCTGTTGTTCTTTTTTTTTTTAAAGAGGACAAGAGAGATGAGGCCTATCGCAATAGTTTAACTTTTCTATCGAGGAAAAGTTATTTCGCAATACATATCGTTATCGTTCTATCACGCAGCTCTAGTCTAAACACAGTCGTTATCAGGGTGTTTTTTGTTCGGCTCCAGCCTTGCGACCGCAGCTGGCGCCGAGAGGGTATCCGCATGAAGTGATGGTGCTTTTTACTTTAGTGCGAACAACTCATATGAATTTCAAAGCTGTTCTAACAGTCCAACACTGGTCTCTCAATCTCCCGTTGGAGAGCCGTGAGCTTTCTATGATGTTATCCAAACTTACGTTCCGTGATGTTGTCATTCTTTTTGCTCAAAGAGCAGGTTCTGAGAACTCACGACCGCAGTGCACTTCCCCAAGATGTGATCGAATTTGCGCTCAAAGGTGTTATTCGAGCTAGCCCCTCCAGATGTAATCCAGTTTTTCACTCAGAGGTCTTGTTCTGAGTATTCACGGCAGCCGTGCGTTCTCCAAGATCTTCTCCGTGCTGCACTCAATGAGCCCATTTTGAGAAACTCACGCCTCGTCCCATCATTTCAATCCCAGCGGGCAGCCTTGTGGGGGTTTGAACAGCCGGTTCCGCTTCCTTAATTCTTCGATAAGCCAGGGCCAAGCCAGCTCCGATCAGCACAGAACCCTGTTATCATGGTTCCGAATAGGTAGATATCTTCAGCAGTCAGGCTCACCCGAGCCCAGACTTCTCGTTGAGAAGGGGTGTCAATTCATTCAGAGACCAGTTGATCAAATCCATAATTCTCTTTTAGGTTTTAGAGAACAGACTGTGAGAGAGTGTTCCAGGGAAAAGTAATACAAAAAACACGAGACTAGACAAGGACATAAGAGGCTAAGCAGGGAAGCTAAGGGAGAGGAGGAGGAGGAGAGGAGAAAAGTGCGACCGCCTTCATCAAGAGCAAGAGCAGAGATGCACTCTCAAACCTGAATTGATTAAGCACCAGAGGCATGCACAGTCTTAATCTTGTGCATTCCTACTGTTTAATGCATCTGCATGCAGTTCACAGCTTTTGTGGAGTTGAAGGTGGAAAAATGGATTCACACATTCTGCCCTTGTGTGTTTGCTTTAAACTGTTAGTCAGTGATATAAATGCATTGTCTTAAAAAGAAATTATGGGACACAATAGTGCTTTTAACACACTGATGTAGTTTTGAATTGATTTTACCCTGTATGTTTTTTGATGTTTTAATTTAGGTTTGCTTGTTTAAGCTGCTCATGTACTAATCAGGTGACCAAGGGCAGGTCTACCAGAATAATGTGAAAGGAGAAGTGGATTTTACTCATTTTAACTTTTAAAGAAAAGTACAAAAATGAATAGCGGAGTCTGATATGTGTTTATAACCGAGACATTTTATGGCTAAACCCAAATTAAGACTTAAGTTGGAGTAAATGTAACTGAAGTAATAAGAGGAAGACATCATGTACCTGGAGACAACATGGAGAATAGAGACTTTTGCCTAATCCACTCGACCTCGCTTCAGTTAACCCAGTCATCTTCTCGTCAAGTACATCTTTTTTCTAAACCCCTGCTCTAAGGCACAGATGGATTACTACGCTCGGGCAGTGACCCGAGTTCTGTGCATCAGGAGCGTTTAAATCTACTTAAGCATTCTCTGTGTGTTTGAATTAGATGAGGCTGACCTCTGCAGCGCAGTACTAAAGGCCTTTGTCCTTATTAATAAGGAACACACGGACGCTTTGCACCTTACAGATTCACCCACACACAAAGAAAAAGATTACATGTAGTTTCTGTGGGATGGTAATTCCATAATGATTCTGCATCTTAGTAGATGTCTGTTTAAACGGTTTACCAGCATTTTGCAATTAGTCGAAGCGTGCAACGTGTAACGGTTGTGTTATTAGGTTCACATGTGTTACCAATTTTATGATCCTTTTCATCCACAGAGCCCTGAACAGTGAGTTGGAATGCAAAGAAAAAAAAGAAGTCAGAGTAGTGAAAATAAATGGCCTCAGTGTTTTTTTCCATTTAGTATTGAACTTGGAATTAATTGCTGAATGTTATCGTTTCCCTCTCAGGGCCGCAACCCATTCTTCCTTGAGCCATCTGTGATCATCACCATCACTGATGGGAACAAGCTCACGCACAGCTCGGGAGTGCCAGATGAGGTGAGAGCACAAACAAATGCAGTGGCACTACCATGTAGTATTTATACAGTGATTCCAGCTGGGCCTGTTGTACACACATGTCATACTTTGAGTCGCTGAAGCCATCTGAAGGTTAAGATCTGTAAAACGAGCGACCTTTTGCATTTCCACTTATTAACTTGCTCTCCTACTTCATTCTTGTCTGCTGTGTAGCTGCACCTGCCTCTGAATTCTCCCTTGGCTGGCAGCGAGCTGACCAAAGAGCCTTTTCGCTGGGACCAGCGTCTGTTTGCATTGGTACTGAGGCTGCCAGGAGCAGCTACACCAGATAATGAGCAACTTGGTAGTGTCCCCACGGATGAGTCTGCAATCACCCAGATGTGTGAAGTTACTGGAGGTTTGTCATGTTTTCCTATTTTCATTCATTCACTGTGTGTCTGCAGTCTTTGGGGTAGAGTCCACAATAAATTCTCTTATGCCTGATCGGCGTGTGTCTTGCTTTTTCCGCTCAGGGCGATCATATTGCGTGCGAACACAGAGGATGTTGAACCAGTGTCTGGAGTCTCTGGTCCAAAAGGTTCAAAGCGGTGTTGTCATTAATTTTGAAAAAAACGGGCCAGATCCGCCTCCAATTGGGGAAGGTGAGTGATCAGAACGCAGCGACCATTAAAAGTTCAAATCCCAGGATGAAGTTTTTCACCTGTTTAAACTTTAAACACAGTAAATGAAATTAAAGGAGAACTGAGTGCATTTTCTAATTTGGCCAAGTACTTAATGATTAGTTATTTGGATAAATAAACCTTTGATTTGATATGTTTAAGTTGCATTTTATTTAAAATTATCGCTTCATGTTTAAGAGGGCAAAGAATCATTTTTTGAGTGAAAGAGAAACTAGAGATTCCTTGTTGAATGTAGTTTGGATGAATGTGATCAACTAAAATCAAATTCTGTTCTTTCCCATTTGCATATTTTGTTATTTTTTCCCCCGTTCGTGCAAACGTATTCTTATTTGCCTCTTAGCTCATATCAGTCAACGTGGCGTGATCCTGCCAAGTAGAACAGTTAGTATCAGCCCGCTTATTGTTTTCTTTTTTTTTTGTTTTCCAGATAATTCTGTGGACTCAAATCGGCCTGTGTCATCCTTCGGCCCACAGCCATGGCACAGCTGCCACAAACTCATCTATGTGCGACCAAACCCAAAGACTGGGGTGCCAGTCGGGCATTGGCCCATACCAGAGTCCTTCTGGCCGGACCAGAACTCTCCAACCCTAGTGAGCAGAGAAGCTTCAAAATACCTCAGCAGCCTTCTTAGTCTGTCTTTCAGATTACATCTTATAGTGTTTGATTATATGTCAATATTTGTATTGTGTAGCTTTATGGACACGCAAACTCTCTTACTTCCTTTCTCTTTTATTGGCACCAGTTTTTTTCTGTAACACCTTTTAGTAACCGTCCAGTATAATAATAATAATAATAATAATGGATTGGATTTATATAGCGCTTTTCAAGGCACCCAAAGCGCTTTACAATGCCACTATTCATTCACTCTCACATTCACACACATAATTGCGATTACCTGTAAAACTTTAATGCTTTGTTATATACTGCTGTCATAAGGACGTCAGAGGATTGTGTATCAAAGACAAACACACCTAACAGTTTGCTCATTTCCATCTGCTGCTCACAGCCACCTCGCACTGCTCACCCCGTGGTGCGTTTCTCTTGCGTGGACTGTGAACCCATGGTGATCGACAAGCTTCCCTTCGACAAGTATGAACTGGAGCCCTCTCCGCTCACCCAGTACATCCTGGAAAGGAAGTCCCCACACATGTGCTGGCAGGTAGAGTAAATGCTTCCACTAACGCTCTTTGCCTTGTTTACAAAGTCACAGGTGTTGCCTCGGGGACTTTCTAGAAACCCAGACATAATGAGGTTACTTGCTAAATTCATCATAGCGTTTCACCTTTTTTGGGCTGTTATGAAGTAGTTGTTGGTCACGCCATTAAAGCTCTGTGAATACAGCTTGGCTTCATTTTTAGCAGCTCTGCTTTACCTTCATGTTTTCTCTTGCTGTCCTCAGGTGTTTGTCAGCAGCAGCGGGAAGCAGAATGACCTGGGGCATCCTTTTGGCTACCTTAAAGCCAGCACCACTCTCACCTGTGTTAATCTGTTTGTTATGCCGTACAACTACCCAGTCCTTCTCCCACTCCTCGGTGAGACATATTGTAGTAAATTTGTCTTTAGGGTGGCCTAAAAAAACCCAAAACTACAACTTCTGGGTCAGTAGGCCTGAGCTGACATCATATTTAAAAGCTCTCCTTTTCTGGGACACCTCATCATCTCCAGTCATGACAAGTATCAGTCTAACAGCACAGAACATCATTAAAAGGTTTATCTTTAACAATTCTGTACAAGACATGAATATTGTCTGGGTCTTTATGTGTGTTTCAAAGCTTGTTGTAGACTTACCATCATCATCCTCAGTACTGATGCATGTGGATCAGTGGGTCTGCTGCAGCTGGACACTGATGCAGATGCTATAATCTCTCAGACTAACCCACTGCTCATTTTCTCCTTCTCCCTGCAGACGATTTTTTCAAAGTGCACAAACTAAAACCAAACCTTAAGTGGCGACAGGCCTTTGAGATGTACCTGAAGACGATGCCTCCATACTACCTCTTGGTAAATGAATGCAACATCTTTAATGCTGCCTTTAGTTTAAATGGATTTATGGTGTTTTTCTTGTAACTAACATCTTAAATTCTGACAGCCCTTGAAAAAGGCACTGAGGATGATGGGTGCACCTAACCTTATCGCGGACACCATGGACTGCGGACTGAGTTACAGCGTCATTTCTTACCTGAAGAAGCTCAGCCAGCAGGTAAGTCACTTCCAGGCAGTAAAAGAGGTTTTGTGGTGCTTATTGATCGTGATGAAATGTAGAGATCAGACTAAACGACACAAGCGCTGAGGAGACTGAACTGAAACTATAAACTTGTCAAAGACAACGAGCACTGATGCTGTGTGAGGCCTCCGGTTCCATCAAAGGCTTCTTATCTTATTTCTTCTGTTAGTTTGAAGAGTATGTTAAGCATCAAGCAGCGGCGTCTAAGTGGAAGTATTATTCAAGTCATAGTTTGGAAACTCATGCACGCTGACTGGATATTTTCAGGAGTGACAGTCTCACCATCTGCTGCAGATACAGGTGCTGACTATACAGCTATGAGTCCTGTGCTGCCATAATTTAACTATCAAGTGTGGAGCTAAAAGAGTTTCTACATGAGGATATAAAGTCTTTATAAATACTTGTCTTATTTTTTAATATGATTATCTGTGGCTGAAATTATCTGCACGAAAGACTGCCAAGAAACGGAGTGGAGAGATGTCTTCCAAATTATATTTCACTCATTTCACTTTGCTTGTTATCCTCATACTGAGATTTTGTTTTGTTGGCTCGAAGGCAAAAATGGAGTCGGATCGTCTGATTGTGTCGGTGGGGAAAAAGGCTCCGCAGGAAACTGGCATAAAGGTGAAGAACCACTCCAGCTCGCTTTCTCTAGCCCACCGGCGAGACTTTAAGCAGCTGCTGCAGGGAATCACGGGGGAGGGGCCCCTTCGCCTGCCGGACATTAATTTCAAAGAGTTTGCCGGTTTCCAGATCGTCCTGCTCAACAAGGTAGGTTTAGGACAGTCGGACACTTTGTGCAGTGTGTGGCATACTTTCTCTCAGCAGAGAGGGAAAACACAGCGTGTACAGTATTTGGTAGGATTCTTTCTGACTAGATGTGTTTGCAGGATGTAAAGCCTCAAGCTTATCGGAATGCCTACGACATCCCAAGACGGAACCTCCTGGATCAGCTCACACGAATGCGCTCCAATTTGCTGCGGACGTCACTAAAACTGATCCGAGGGCAAGATGAAGGTAAGTCAATACGCAGTGTGTTGCTAGTGGGAGGCAACAACTTAATGAGCTTGCATCATGCGTTTCTTCAGCTGGAATCCGGTGTAGTTACTGCAACATTTCATGAAATCATCGTTTTGTGGTTGTTAGATTCCCTGCACAGTATTCCAGTGGCTCAGATGGGAAACTATCAGGAGTACCTAAAAATGATGCCATCTCCTTTGAGAGAGATTGATCCCGATCAGCCTAAACGGCTGCACACATTTGGGAACCCTTTCAAGCAGGATAAGAAGGTAATGCAGTTTAGCTGCACACAGATGTCTTCACTCCGTATCGCGCCCTTACATTGTGTAACGGTTTCCTCTCTCTGTCTGTTATTCCCAGGGGATGATGATCGATGAGGCGGATGAGTTTGTAGCAGGCCCTCAAAATAAGAAGAGAGGAAATTCCAGTGACTCCAATTCGGGAGCTACCGTGAAGAGAAGGCGGAACATGTCACCGTTGCTACGGCGGCCGCAGACCCCATCAGGGAACACCAACCATGTGGTGATTGGGAAGAACCTAGCAGGGATTCAGGGGCAGCAGAACCTCCTCAAACCGGGTCCACAGAACAAAGGTAAGATGCGAAGGTAATAACAAAGTATGCTCGAAGGTGGTGAATATGAGGCTCACGCTGTTCATTGTTGCATCATCAGCAGTGGATAGCATGGTGGTCACAGAGAGTAATGGCGACAGCGCTCTCGGGCTCGACTCTGGGGAAATCTGGCCTGCAGAGATGGAAACTGAGGCAGGGAATACATCCTCACCGAGTTTAGAGGAGAACGTTGAGACAGGAGCAGCAGTTCGCGGGGAGGACCTCGGCACGATGGAGGAGAGGCTGGTGGAAGATCATCTAAACGAGCAGCCGCTGGAGGAGAAGCACAACTGTGAACGCCTGAGTCCACAGAGCCAGCTGGATGGCGCTGACGCTGAGCCGGCAGTGCCTGAGATCATTTTCATAGCTCCACTAGACGGCAACCTGGCAGAGCTGCGGACGCGGGTCATCAAGGAGGTCCGCAAACCCGGACGAAGTGAGTGCATTTTTGTTTTTCAACAATATCATAATTAAAGATCTTTACACAAAGAGTGCTTTGCAAAAAAAACCAACACAAAATTCAGAATTTTTCAGCTCTGGCATTGCCGTGTAACGTAAGCGTTACGATTTTATGAAAAGTTTCCATCAAACCACGATGAGCTGGCCCTGATGTTTCACAACAAGAAAAGGAAGAAACAGATTCTCAGTTCATCCAATTCCTCAGGGTTCGATCCAGGAGATGAAACTGCATCACGGCCGCTTCCGTACATATTTCAGGGCGTCAGTGGGCAGTTTGATCTTTTGTTAGCAGAGCTGGGAGCTGTGAAATCATTTCAGAGAGCTAACTGACCTGAATCAGCATCTAGCTGTGTGTCTGATTTATAATAATATTATTTTAGTAGTTGTATATGTGTGTTACCAGGTCACTTGTTACCAAAGGCAGTGGCCTGATTAGTCACATCTGTTTATTTGCAAAAAATCGGAAAATTCAAGCTTGATTGGAAAAAATGCCAAAAATTATCAAGCAAAATTATGTGGTCTGTGTGAACGGCTACATTAGGAATTGGTGAGTCTCTAAAACATATTTTTCCAGGCCTTCATATTAATAATAGCCAAAAAAGACTGTCAATATGAAAAGAAGCAGAAGCAAAACACAGAACTAAGACTGATGCGTGACAGTCTGTATAGTTTATTAGGAAAAAGTGCATGTTTTAAAAAGAAATATTTAATTTCAAATAAAAATGATCAATTTCAAGTGCATGAAACACGGACTTATTCAGACGACGTTGGAGAAAGTTCAAAAGAGTTCCTCAAACCTTTTCAGATTTTTTTGTTTGCTTAAAATATTTGTGTTAGTGTTTGTAGTGGACGGTCGGACATTCTGGACAATATTGTGATTTAAATTATCACAGTTGATTTTTATTGATTTTTTGGGTCTTTTTCAGCTTTTGTTGACAGATACAGTGAAGAAATGACAGGAAGGGACAGCAAAGACAGAGGCAGGGGAAGACACGTGGCAAAGAGCCGCGGGTCAGACTCGAACCCGCGGCCTGCTCAAATCACTGAGCTAAATCGGCGCCCGATCACAGTGGATTTATTGAACTTGAAAACATTGTCCTTTCAACAGCGAATTTCTTTACATTATACTTCACTTTATCAGGAAGTTGGTACACTGAAAGGCGAGCGCATCGTAGCCAAAAACAGCAGCATTCGTCCCATAATGTTTAAATCTTGCCACAGTGAGACTTCTTTAGCTGTTTACATTTAATACTTATTAATCTAAGGTAATCTACGGTTCGTATTCATCATCTGATTATGAGTTCCAGCACAAGCTGATTTCTAGTCATCTGATGAGATTTCAGGGTCCTGATTTTCATCCCCATGCATTTAGTTTTTCATGTGAACTCCCAGATAAAGATGCTCTAAAAAGGTAATTAGACTGAGTGATGCACTTTCTAAAACAGTCTTTGGTCATTGTTGGTGGGGGAATTATGCTGCTGTGCCTTTAAAATGTTCTTTTAAGATAAAATGTTTCCCTTTAGTTCAAAGTTCGGATGAAACGGATGTTAAACCTCTTCGAACACATGAAAACTCTTTTCTCCTTGGGCGTCTGTTAGAGTTATTGTCAGATGTCGTCTTTATGGGGGTAAAGTTAAAGGTCGAAGCTTGATTGTCCTTAATGCTTGATCATATCACACTTTCACATGTTTTAAAATTGGATTCGTTTTCTGATTTTTAGCTTTTTTTCATTACATCAGAGAAGAGGTAGCTGTAGCCCATTTACAGTCTATGTGCACCCAGTGAGGAACATTGCAGTATTTTTAAAAAAAAATAAAACATAATGGATCTGTCAGCTGTGCGGCCAGTAATACAACATTAACAATATGTTTACACATTTTTAAAAACTTTTTTTCATATAAATCCCAAATTGTTTTTGATTTCTCAGCTAAATCAGTCAGAGGTGGCAGAGAAATGTAAAATACTGATTCATTTTATTTCTAATTTGAGGACGTACTGGGAACATTTGAACCGCTTCCTTACCTTGTGCCTTTTCTCAGACTATGATGCAATACTCAGACTACTGCAGCAGGTGAAAGGCCCGCCAAACGTACAGAGGTACTTTATCCAGCACGCCATCAAAGAAGCAATGAGGTAAGAAACTGAGCGGCTTTGAATCTTTTGAAATCCCCGGACAAGCCTGTTAAACAGCGCGTCGCTGCACTGACATACAGTGAGTTCAGTGTTTCTGAGGCACTGCGGCTTCAATGGCATTCATTTCATAGCCCTTTGAATCAAATTCATCTGCAGCACTCTGATAAAGTTTGAGGTTCCCACTGCAGTAAGCTGGAAAAGGAAATCAAATCGATAGTGTGAGCTCCCACCAGCATTACAACTGCACTTGTTCCAAACACCTTGCCGCAGTTCATCTGTGGATTCATCTGTTCTGTCTCTTCTTACACTGATTTCATGTGAGGTTGATGTCGCACGACTCCTTGTTCTTCCTGTTATTGAAAAGTCGTCGCTGTGATCCAAAGTAACATCTAAACATGTCCCGAACAGGTTCAAGAAGCGAGTACTGATCCAGCAGCTGGAGAACGCCCTCACGGAGCTGGAGGAGAAGCAAACAACACCACAGCTTCCCAATGACCATGGCAGGTAGTGACAAAGCCACTTTTGCTTAAATTTTCTTGCCGGCTGGACATCGCAACCCGAAGAGAGGCATCCCTCTAGACCAAGCCTCAGAAATTCCGATTTGGAAACCAGCTTGGGAGAGGAACAAATGCACTGATAGTCCCTGTGCTGTACGTCACATCCTGTTAGAGGCAGAGGGCTTATTCAGAGGAGGGGCCTTGGGGAGCAGCTCCACAGGGGATGAGTACAGACACTTTAAAAATAATCCTCTGACAGATGCCTTAAACACCCATATGGCTTTTGTCTGTATGGGGACGTTGCTCAGAAACCACACATACACTCCATTAGACAGATAACACAGTAAGCCAGCAAAGCAGTGGGTAGACTGGCTTATTGGGATAGTTATGCTAAAAAATAAAAAACAAAACAAAACAGGCCCTTCTTCAGCTGGTCTGAAAAGTGTTTTATGGGTAATAAAATGTGCATTCATGGAAATTCACGGATGGAAGGAGAAATACTGTCCAGAAGCAAGACAAACCCTCATATTTTTTTGTGTTAAATCGGCAACAGGATGCACTTTGTTGTCCATGTTACTGTTGATCAATATGCCCCCATTATTACTGGTTGCACTGGCATCAGAGGTGGGCAATATGGGAATAGGACTATGAGTGCCATAGTAGCAGAAGTAACAGAAAACAGAGATTTGAGACATCCAAACCTTAAGCATCAGAATCTGTGAGATGTCGGCTTTCAGCCCGACGGCGTGTCCGTGTCCGTGCCATCGGCTGAACAATCCGCGCTTCGTGCAGAATCCGTTTACCTGCTCTCGTTTGCTGTTTTAGCTGTTTGGTGGTTGCTGAAATAATTTTGTGAGCTTTAACCGGAGATTCTGACATTGCTGGTAAAATACATTTAAAATACATGTATTTAAAAATCAATTCAGGATATAATGAATCGATAACGCGTTATTCAAGCTAAAATCGATTTGAATCAGAAAAGCGAGTTTTTTAAACCCACCCTTAGTAGCAATATAGCGTTGCTTTTCTGGGAATGCATTAGAAATGTGTATTTATGGCTAAATCAGTCAGCAGGCTGCACATTATGGAAAATACTGTGTTCAGTATTGGTGTGTAATAGATTTGAGTCAGTATAGCAAACTCATAGTGTGAATATGACCATATTGCCCAACCCCAAACAGCATTAAATAAGATTCACATATGCCTCACTCATGGCAGCTCCCAACATGTTCTGAACCCACAACCAGCTCCAACCTTTTAAAGCGTGACTTTGAAGGACAGCACCAAGTAGCCGAATCAGTGTTTTTTTGATAGTTGCACAGAAGCAGCAGTGTTTAATGGTTAAGTGACCGAGGAGCATTCTTCCTCTCACCTGCCATCACAGCAATACAACATGGGTCACTCCTGCAACTCCACAGGCGCACACTCACGCCCGAGTCATCCTCACACCTCAAACGCTCCAGTGGTTCCCCAGCGTAACGCAGTTTTGCATCCAGCAGTCGCCTTTTTGTTGAAGTTGAACCTTTTGCATTTCTCCTCTGCTGCTTTTCAGATGAACCCGGCGTCAGCACTCCTCCTGAGTTCTCCTTGTTTTTACAACAGATGTACACTACTTTTTAATGTTCATAGGGAATAGAGATTATTTTTGTGAAATTGCTTATTTCAGAGTCTAAGAAATATTTTGAAAGACAAATGTTCAAAGCCATTTTTGTAAACTGTTAAAATACATATAAAAAGTGGAAAGTTTTATGAACCTACTTCTTTTTTCATCAAAACAAAAAAATAAAAAAAATGATAAAAAATTAAGCCACGGGTAGAACGGTGTTTTGTGCGTCAGACTGTGTAGTTCTAGCTTGAAGTTGGTGTTTTTTTTAAAGACTTAAACAGTTGATGAGCACACAGCTCGCTTACTTTCATCTTTTTTATTCAAGCAGTTTTGGTTTAACCTCCATAAAGTCTCTAGAGTCTGTGTTTCTTTTGTAAAGCCTCACTTTTAAACTGAGCAAATGCTGCAGACACAACACTTTCAGTGTGTGTCTGACAGAATGATGGAGTTGTGGAGCAGAGCTCTGCGACACGCACGGCAGCTGGACCTATTTTCTTGGTGACCCTTTGTCATTGATTACAACAAATTGTAATTTTACAAAAGCCTGCAAACGCTGGAATTGCATTTACACTCAGCAGCCACTTTATTAGGCACGCCTGTTCAACTGCTTGTTATTGGAGGTGTCTTGCGAGCCAATCACACATCAGCAACTCTGCGAATTTAAGCGTGTAGACGTGGTCGAAATGACCTCCTTTATGATGCAGCTCATAAACTTGATCCCTGTGTACTTAGTGCAGCTCTGCACATCACACTTGTTCTTGAAAATTGCACCAGTACATCTCTGAAATCTTTTAAAGTCTCAATTTTTAAATTACTTGATTCTTGTGTTTTTATATTAAATACACATTAGTGAAACAAGCATTTAATATGTACTTTTTCTCCATTTCTGTTCTACATGGTTTGTTAGTTTGCTCCATTTTAACCCAGACTGGAACTTTAGTCTTGACTGCCACCTAGTGTCCATCATAAGCAGCTGCAGGTTTTTTGGATCAGGAGGGTTTTTTTGTGACGCAGCAGTCCTGCACCAAGGTCACAGGTACAGCACAGCTCTGCAGACTGTCACTATAGTAATTAAGTTTTTAAAGCCATGCGTACCAACTTCTTCCTGCATAAATAGATTACCTGGAAAATAAATAGTCCACTTAGTTTTGTCTCACAAAAGCAATATTCCAGCCCAAGTACAACAAAAAAGGAGATCTGGACACTTCGTAAAATCAGTATGCCTTTTATTAAATTAAAAACAATCTGTTGAATATTGACGAAATGTAAAATGAAGGGAAATAAAAATCCACTCTAATGTACCAGTACTGGCTAGTCTGCCTTATAGTGTTCACAGTCTCATTATAATAGCGCTCTAATATCGCCCATCCCAGTGTTCACCTCATTTCCTGTGACTTAAAAACCATTTTGCTCACATACAGAGTGTACAGATCATTTATGCTTCCTGGAAATAATAAAGCAAATATTAGAGTCCACTGATTAATCTCATTTTAGTTGACAAAGTTTTCAGTTGCTGACGTGTATTTGAAACGAAACAGCAACCAAAGCAGGCTTTGTTATTCCCTTCATACAAAAGATATACAAAGGAGAGTAATATCCCAGTTCAGTTCAGAAGGGATCAAAGGGGTACATGTCTCAGTATTTTAAGACTCCAAAGCGTTTACATACTGTATATACAAACAAGTCTGCTTGGAAATAATAAAAACAAAAACTGAGGGGTTGGCACAGTCAGTGTTGAATATGGTGGCAACCATGTTATGGACAGAGATGCATGTTCAGACAGCATTATTAGTTTATTTACAAAAAAATAAAGAAAAGTTAAATAGGAGAAAGATGAATTCTGACACGTTCTCCCTCCTTCTGCCTAACAAAAACAAATCTTATCTGACAATGACTGTGTTACAGACAGGAAAAGGCCAGTCTCAGTGCAAATGCTCCAGCTTGCGTAACCGTATGGGGTTGGGCAGAGCTTGTTGGTTGCGTACAGAAGAGGGCTCCTCCTCTGGTGTGCGGAATAGCACCCGACCCCTGTGATTGAATAGGTAGAAGGATGGGTGGTTCCTCAGAGTGTCAAAAGTCCTGGGGAAAGAAAGAAAATAGAAAAACGTCTTAAACACTGGCACCAAGAGGCAGGAAGTTATGGAGATTGATTACATCTGTTAAATTATATAATCCACTCCTGTAGGAGAGAAGGGACAGAAAAGTGTGTTTACATCCCAATACAGAGTTAGAATAAAGAAACAAACCAATGTTAACACCCACTGGAATCATCAGTGTTGCAGTGTGGAGAACCCAGTGTCCAGTCATCAGATGAGACATTTTTCAGGTAAAATTGAAAGTTTCAGGGGAGAATTGCATCAACTGTGTAACATTCAAGCTGTGATTTCTCATGTGGGATGCTTTGCTTGCCGATTTGCATCTACAGGGTTCACTTATTAAATCTAGAAGTGGTTACACTCCCGCTGTAAAAACTTTGCCTATATTTTGGGTTTAGCACTCAAACTAACCAGTTAGCAGATCACAACATGAACAAGTCACTTATGTTTGGCTTTCTTACCGCCTTACTTCTTTAACACATCTCTTTAATTCTTATGTATGACTGCTTAGTTTATACAATGTTGCTGCTGCAGTTGCCTCCAAATCACTTTATTTATTCTTTTATCTGATCTGATAAAACCTCACTGATGGATTAAAGGTGATGGGAAACATGAGGCCCAGGTACCAGATTCAGCCTGGCAAGGATTCAGACCGGGCCCACTCCATGCCTTTGAAAAATGTAAACAAGGGTATAGAGCCTGGGCTTAACAGTATTTTCATGAATTTGACAGCTTTTTCTATTGATAAACACCTCACCTACCTACAGCCATACATACAATGCCAAAGTAATGAATATTTAAACAAATAAATGACAGTGAAACACATGAACTTTTCTATGTACTACAGAAATGTGTGTTTTGTTTGTAATGTTACACAGTTCTTACAGTTTAAGCACAAAGACTCATATTAATCACTGCTAAAAATTATTGAATTAATAATTTTAGTCATTTGCAACAGTATGATACTAGACAGGCACACAACTCCTCCCTTCACTAACAGCTGAAGTAGTCAATGTTCATAACACTGAACAACAGACTGAAGCTCCAGCCAAAACACCATCTTGTCACCTGCAGCTGTAGTTATAATAATGTCACACTGTGACCCAAAGTTCTTCTGTCAACCCAGCAACCTTTCATTTACTTTCACGTATAGGCCCCATTCTTTGGCTTTGCTTTGAATACGTTTTCAGTCTTAGGAGGCTTTCAACACACTAGCTGTGTGATGTAAAGCTGCATCTGTGGGA